CCAAGGTGCAGAGTTACGCCAAGCCAAAATTTAAAAACTCTATACAGGTCTCTCACATAGAAAGTAGGAACTCAATTATTTCAGCCACCATCTGCTGCATCTCAGATTGCATGGATACTCACGCTCAGGCGTTTTTACATGCAACATGGATGCCCTGAGAAACATCCAGTACCTAGAGATCTTAAATGAAATCAAGGTTATGCCCTAAATGTTAAGGCAACTTGTCATACCAAGTAATATTTTGACAGCAGGCTGTTTAACAAACGCCTGATTCTCACAGAAAATACTATCAGGTGTTACTCTGTGAAAAGTTAGGCTTGGTGAGATTGAGCTGGTAAAAATATATTGAATTACAAAGAAATTATATGTTGAGAAATTATGTACATGAGAGATACTTTTTATTAGAACTCAAAGTCACCCATACCAGATAGGGGGAATCATGTTGGTTTTATCTGGCAGGTAGAAATATTTTCATTTTTCAAGTTGTAGAGCTCCAAAGAACATCCTGTTCTAGTTTGATATTAATTATCCCCCTATATTAGGTTTTCAAAAGCAGCCATAACATGTACAAGTCTGTGTAGCACAGTGATTTGCTTACATTCAGCAGGCTGGGCGGCTGACAAAGGTGTTCCCAGAAACGGCTTCTCCTGAAGCTTCTTTCTTGGTTTGCTGAACCTAGAAATTCCTGACTAACTTGTGCTCACAGTTTTATCATTAGTTGTCTATAATTCTGAGAGACCATATACCAGTAATGGCAACACAGCACAAGCCACCAATGCATACCTGAATAAGTAACATTTAATTACTAAATTTAATCTTCATTAACTAACATATGCAAATATCTGATCTTATGCCTTATGGAATGGCTGTACCTGATCATGACGGATTTTTTAAGTCCCACTCACATCTTTATATTTGAACGCTACATCTGTTAGGGAAACAATCGTGATACCAGTAGGTTACAGAAATTTATCTCAACACTACAAAGTACTTGCTAAACTTCAGTATTTTAATGGACAAATCACAAATTACTGTTTCTACAAAAATATGAACTGCAAGTTAATAAAAATTGTCAAATGCTACATGGGCCTCCTCAGCTCTTTTGTTTCCATTGAAAAAAACAGCAATATAGCTTTTTAATACACACAAAAACATCCCCATGTAATAAACACATTAAGAGATACAAAATATTTCTAGACTCCTTTGTTTCCCACTGCATAATCTTTCACCTTATGTTCATATTCTAGCTACATTTGGTCAAAATGGCCTCCTTTCAATGATTCACGGTCCTGTGTTTCTACCACTGCTATACCTGGTATCCCACTTGCATTCCTATCTTGCTAAAAACATTCTTACCAGGGCAAATTTGCACTTCTTTACTACAATTCCAGGGTGAACCAATTTTATCTTCTATTACTCTCACATCAATCTTGGCTGTCTGTGTGGAACCTGGTTGAATATCACCTTCCTTAGGGAGGAATAGGCAGGAACAAGCAGATCATCACCTACAAATTCAAGCTACAACATCCCAGATTCTCAGGAATAAGCAACTTCGGTAACAAATAAAGCAACATCTCTTAATACTCAAATTTCAAGATACAAACAGACCTTGTAGTTAAAATCCGGAAAAGTATCTACTAGAGAGAAAAGAAAAATACATCCCAATACAATGGAATGTTCTACTGCTACCACTCCCACAAATTACAGTTGTTAAAATATAAAGACAGGGTGTGTCACCTTTGTAGTACAGCACGTTAAGCGGAGGCCTGAGATGCCTGCATCCCATGTGAATGCCAGTTTGAATTCTGTCTTCTCCAATTCCAATCCAGCTCCCTGCTGATGTGCCCAGGAAAGCAGAAGCTAGCCCAAGTCTTGGGCTCCTGCAATGCTTGGGAGATGGAGAGGCAACTCCTGACCCACTCAGCTCCAGCTGCTGTGGTCATTTAAGGAATGAATTAGCAGATGAAAGAACTCTAACTCTGGCTCTCAAGTAATTTTTTTAAAAATTGTAAATTAACTAAAATACAAAATGAAATGGAGTAGCAAGCTAATCCCTCCTCCTCCGTGGTGCCAGTCTCTCATGTGGGTACCATTTCTAGTCCCAAGCTGCTCCACTTCCCATCCAGCTCTCTGATTGAGAAAGTAGTGCAGGATGGCTCAAGTCCTTGACCCTGCACTCATATGGGAGACCAGGAGGGGGCTCCCGGATCCCAGTTCTGACCAGCCCTGCTCTGGCCACTGCAGCCATTTGGGGAATGAACCAGCAGATGGAAGATCTTTTCCCCCTCTTCCTAGCTCTTTTTAAGTAAACAATAACTTAAAAAAAAAAAAAGGATTTATTCATTTTTATTGGAAAGTCACATATACAGAGAGGAGGAGAGGTAGAGAGGAAGATCTTCCATCTGATGATTCACTCCCCAAGAGACCACAATGGCTAGTGCTGCGCCAATCCAAAGCCAGGAGGCAGGAACCTCCTCCAGGTCTCCCACATGGGTGCAGGGTCCTAAAGCTTTAGGCCATCCTTAACTGCTTTCCCAGGCCACAAGCAGGGAGCTGGATGGGAAGTGGAGCTGCTGGGATTAGAATCGGAGCCCATATGAGATCCTGGGCGTACAAGGTGAGGATCTTAACCACTATGCTATTGCGCTGGGCCCTAGACAATAACTCTTTAGAAACTTACATATATATTTTATAAAAAGATTAATAAGTTTTAAAAGTTCAAAAGAGTCCAATGTTGTGCTGCAGCACATTATGCTACCTCTTCCAACACCAAATCATATTGCCAATTAAGAGTCACAGCTGCTCAACTTGGAATTCAGCTTCCTGCTAAAAAGCCTGGGAAAGCAAAAGACCAAAAAAGTACTTCTATCTATGCCACCAATGTGAGAGGCCAGGGTGGAGTTCCTGACTCCTGCCTCCGCCTGACTGAGACCTGGCTGCTGTGGCCACTGGGTTAACAATCAGTGGATGAACACCTCTATCTAACCCTCTGCCCTTCAACAGACAAGAATGTGCAATGTGCAAATCAGTTCTGCAGTCTGATTTCATGTGTTTTAACTCACTGTTCAGTAAATAATATAATTTAATTTAAAACCCACATAATTATAACCAGTTTCACTTTCACACGCTGTTCCAAATCAACAGGACACTAGCCATATTATACATGGTGATAAAACTCAAGGACTTTATCGTCTTCATACAATTTAGTACACACTGTCCTCACTTGTTCAGTGTCTTACAGATTCTATTCTTATGAAATTATGCTAAAAGTTCACAGTAAAAATAATTGTGCTCCCAATCCTAATCACTGAACTATACAGGTGAGTCCTCTTCATTTCTGGATGCTTTACAAACATTATTATTCTTGACTTGCAAGCTTCACGTTCCCTTTAACTCTAGCCAGTTAGATCATTTCTAGGGATCAGCCTGTTACTGGGTTACACATAAGCATCGATTTGAAATAAAAGACAATTGATTCCTGAGTATCTTGAGAACAGACTGCGAGTATCACTGACTCCATTTCTATGCCAAGACAGTATGTACCTGAAAGGACACCACACCCATGAAGACAGCTAGATCAAAAACTTTTAACATTCACAATAATTCCTTAGAGTCCTCTTTTATAAAATCATACCACAACTTCAACACTAATAACTTCTCAACTTTATTATTTTGAAAGAACAAGACAAACACGTGGAGTGTCCCTGGTAACATAAACAGGAAAAAGACAGCAGTCATACTTAATCACTATGGTCTACTAGAAAAATACAGCTTTCAAAATATAGCGGATCACAGAGAAAGCTCAACTTGCTAAACCATGATTCAGGTGGCAGACGTAATACCCACACTCAGTAATTCCTAACTGGAACTCTGCAGAACTCTGAAATAATTTAGGTATTGTGAAAATTTGTTTCCTAAACTGGAAGGATTCTTTGCACAAATATACAATTAGCCACTGGAATGAGTATCTGGAGTGTAGAGCAAAACGGCAATAAAGTAACTTGTTTCAGATTCAGGATCAAATTAAACTGCTTTAGGCAACATGAGATCATCTAGAAAACTTATTTTACTCTCAAACAGGCCGCTGGACAGTTTCAAAGATTCACTAATTCACAGCCCAGCTACCATTCTTCGATGGTCTTACGTTAATAGAGAACAAAAACAACAGCCAGCATTTCACTGCTTTACAATTTACAAGCTTCTATTGCTCTAAGGACCCTAGGGCCAAGCTCCCGAAGTGCTGATTCGGGAACTGCTGTGAACACAATGCTATGTAATGTACCGGAACAACAGAAAAGGTAAGCAGGCCTTGGAGATCAAACAATCCTTGATTTAAGAGGGAAAGTCTGAGCGCTCCTTCCAGCCCCGGACACCCTCACGCCCCTCGGGGGGCCAACAGTCAACACCTGCAGCAACAGCTCCACCTACTGACCCGGCGCACCTCCTCCAACGTCTGGGCACCCCGAGTCCCCGCAGCTCGCGCGCTCCCCCTCCTCCACCCGCTCCGACCCAACCCAAATCCAGTTGAGTCACTAGCTCTTCACACTCCTCCCCGGGCTCTTCATTCCCAAACCCTTCTCTCCAGAAGATTCTGCAGAGCTCCCAAGGTTGAACAAAACGCAAAGGTTGTCAGAGGCTAGGGACTCCCCCTCTCCCCCCCCAGTGCCGAGCCTGCATCCGAGATGGAGGACAAACAGGCTCCCTTCCACCTCAAGCGGCGGGCTGGAGGCTGGGCTCGGCCGGGCGCTCCGGGGCAGGAGGCCCCAGGCCTCGCAGCGCGCTGCCCGCTCGGCCCACACCCGGCCCTCCGGGCGGGATTCCTCCACTCCGGGCTCTCGCCTCCGTCCGCCCGGCAGTCAGACCGGCCCGCGCCTAGCCTCCGCCCCCCTCTGGAAAAGCCAAAAACCCTTCTCCGTCCGCCCCGGGCTCCCGTCCTTCGTTCCAAGGGCCTCGGCCCTTCCACCCCGCCGGCTGGGCCCTGCCCGGCTGCCCTTCCTCACCCTTTCATCTTCCCCGCCTGCTGAGGCCGTCGTTCCCGCCGCCGCCGTCGTCGCCTCCGCCGCCTAGAGCTCGCAGCCTCGCCCTGAGCTCGGGCCGCTCGATCCCCCCAGCCGGCCTCCTCGCTCGCGGCTGAGCGGCTGACAGAGCCCGCGAGCGTCGAGCGCGGCCCTGAGCCTCCGGAGGGGCTGGGACGGGTCTCCCGCCGCCGCGAGGGCGCCTGCGCTGCTCCCACACGTGCACCCGGGCCACCAGGCTCCCGCCCGCCGCCGCCAGCAGGACCCGCCGCCGCGCGCTGGCTTTTCAGCCCGCCCCTCAGCGCGCCGGCGCGGCGGCCGCCCCGCGCGCAGCCGCAGTCCGCGCCGCCGCCGCCCTCCCCCTCCGCGCCCGACCTCCATCTTGGCCCGGGGCCTGCGGGCGTCGCGCTCGATGCGGCGCGGCCGCTGGGGGCTTGTCCCGCCGGCCCCGGCGGCGAAATCCAGCCTTTTCCGCCCCGGTGTTGTTGTCTCTCTCCCAAACCAGTCAGTTCAGGATGTCCAGACCCTGTTCTTTCCAGATTGGCCAGTAAAATGCTTTACTTTTTTTTCTAATAGGGCTTTGTAACGCTGGTGTTTGAAACTGAAGCGATATGCTTTCACGTCATGAGCAGCCAGCCGGCTGGACGCCCTGGTTGCCCGCTGCACGCCGTTGTTAGAACGCGTGACCGGCCCATGGCTGCTTGCATGGGACTCGAACCGCGGGCCCGGGGGGGGGGGGGAGGCGTGGAACGACACCGCCATTTCCGCTCATGGGAGCGCGGCCTGGACGTCACTTCCTTAGCCATGCACTTTAACCCTTACCCTTCGCACTTTCTCCCTAGCGTTTGACGACCCAATCTTTAGGGAAACCCTTAAGTGTAGTTTGTGTTTGGATCTCTAGAAAAACCCGTCTTGGCAGGAACCCGAAAAGTCCTGTCTCCCTCCTTCCCCACCCCGACGGGCGGGGGCGGGGCCGACGGTCACGTGACGGGCGGAGCGGCAGTCACGTGGCTGGCCGGGCCCGCCCCTCCCCCGCAGCTGAAGACGTCCCCTCCCGCGGTGACGGATCCTCTGGCTCGGCGATCCGTCCTGCTTCTGCACCTCGCGCTCCCGCAGGTGAGCGGCGACCGGTAAACCGGGGCCTGGCGGGGACGGTGCCGGGGGTGGCCAGGGGAGGGAGGGCCATGTGAGCCGTCCCGCCCGCTGTCACTCGGACGTGGGCAGAGCGCTCGTGTCTCCGGGTCTCCTGACCTCGGTCCTCCCGTCCCCTCCCCCCCACGGCCTCGGTGGGCGACCCCACCACCTGGGTCTTCATTGGGGGAGTGAATGCGGTCATTCCAGTTCCCGATTTGGAATGTGCGGGATTCGGTGTAGTCAGGGTTGCTTCATCCGTTTTTAGGGGCTTGCACCCTCCCGGGGTCCGTATTCCCTGGTAAGGGTCCCCTCCAGCCCGCAGCCGGCGCTGAGGAGCCAGCATGTAGGCAGAACCCTGAAGGCGGGGGCGTCTCCTGCGAGACTGGCTTGGTAGGGAATGTCACTGCCCGGGCCCTCACTGCCGAGTCACGGGAAAGCTTCCCTCCGAACGGGCGCTCTCGGTAATCCTGACAGTCGGGTCCGACATCCTCGCCAGAGAGTGTTCCCAGGCTTTGGGTAGGACTGGCAGGGCGAGAGCAAGTCTGAGGGAGAGGGCGGTTGGAACCACGGGTGTGGGAACTGCGACATTTCTTGATTGAATGGGGAAGCGTGAGGAGGTGGTGCTGCAGCGTCGCGGGCTGCAGGCAGCTCCGGCCAGCTTACGGACAAGTGTCGGGGTTTTCCTGGAAGGGAAGCGAGACGGGCTGGAAATTAAAGTAAACCAGATCTGTTTGTAAGCTTCATGGTAAGAAGGCGTAGATACTGTTAATTTCGTGTGGTCTTTCCCAGCATCCTTTCCCCCCCCCTTTAAAATCCTGATTGCCACTCCCAGTCAGTCCCGTGATGAGCTTTGTGGCATAGGTGTGTTGAAGAAACACCTTCATCTACCCTTAGCTTTCTGCAGTTGGGAAACTCCAAATGACCTCTTGTTTTGATGAATAATATTTTATGAAAAACAGACACTGTTTTGCCTAGATTTTTGCCCAGCCTGTTCTGTATGTGCTGTAGTAGGCTGTTTTGAACCCAAACAGACTTCCATTTCTGGGTTAAAGTCTAATTGTTTGTACTAACAACTCAGAAAGTTCTTGCTTCTTTTACATTGAAAAGGGTAATTAAAAGGACATATTTGATTTTTTATTATAATTTTTATTAAAATGAAAAATTTATATTCTCAGCTAGATGTGGCAGTTTTCTAACCGGTGTGATTGAAGAAGCCATTAGAAAGCTGAGAAGTGAGCAAGGTGGAATCATTATCTTTGAGTGGTCAATGTGACTGACCTAATTTGTTTCTGCTGTGTCTTCCAAAATGCTTGTTAATAAACTGTTAAGTTCACAATACAAAAATTGGCCTTTTGGTGCTCCTTACTAGAAAAGCAACCTTAAAGATCATTCTGTCTTCAAGTAATAAAAAAACTAGCAGGGGTGAGTGTCTAGCACAGTAGGTAAAGCGCTTTCTCCCTCTCTCTGCCTTTCAAATAAATATAAAACTTAGACTACAACTTCTCTTGCATTTCTAACGTTAGCATTTTGTGCTTATGGATCATTGCTGGACGTTAGCAGTTATCTATTGAAATGCTTATTTGGCCATACTTTCTGCAGATACAAACGCACTGTTATCCATGAATATTTTTCTTTTCCAAAGTGAGATTTCCTGATCTCTAGAGGAGAGGACATGGTGGGGGTGGGGGAAGGCAGTGTTGCTTCATTGCCCAGGGGACATTCCATCAAATAGTTCCTGGAGTAATCTGGTGGCCTGAACCAGTCCTGTCTGGGTGAAACCCAAATGGAGAGAGGGAAAAAAAAAAAAAAAAAACCTCAAAGGCCCTGGGTGGTGAAGGGGGGAATGTCAGTATAGAAGAGGTTGAATGAGTCTGCAGTTTTGCTTCACAATTTCTCCAACTTTGGGGAACTTGTGAAGGCAGTAATGGAGATCTTTGAGGAAATCTGAAAGATCAGCAGAGATTGGTGATTACGTTGCTGCTAAGACTGCGTGGGGAAAAGGGCTTTATTTAACATGCACAGGTAAAACATGTGCGCTGCACGTGTGTGGTGTGAAGCTTAGAAGACATCGCTTAGACTAGCTTTAGCCTAAATGAATGCTAGACAAAAAGAAAAAAAACCAGCATTTGTGGCATACATTGTGCTGTGGGCTTTCACATTAGGGCCCAAGACACCTCTTGTTTTCTGCTGAGGGCTGCCTTGTTTTCACTGCCTTACATGTTAGTATCGCGCTGTGGCTGTTCTCCCCCTCCTGCAAGGAAAAGCAGCTTCTCAGCTTTATCAACTACACAGGGTCTTCTCTTATCTTTGCACTTGTGACTCCTTGCTGTCTGATGTTTCTTAGGCAACCATAAAGGGTCCAGAAATTCTAGGACAGTATCTTTCCTATTGGGTTTTTCAGCACCAGAATGCTGAAATACCTGATAGGTACTTAGCAGATTGCTTACTGAGTGAGCCGACGGTTGCAATTAGACAAGGTGATTAAGTTCCTTTAACTGTTGCAATTCCTTGCTGCTTCTAAGGCTGTGCAGTAGGCATTAGCTTGCAGATTCCACTTGTTAATAGTAACCTTCCAAATTAGAGTCAATGGGATTAAAAACCTGACCAATGAACTTCACTAATATTAATAGCAGTTATCTGTTGAAATGTTTATTTAGCCATACCTTGTATGGATACAAATGCACTTTTATCCATGAATTTTTTTCCGGTTATTATTCAAAAATGGGAAGGAAGGACAGAGGAATGATCTATACTAAATACAAAAAGTGACTGCATATCGGGTGCAAGTGGGAATATGCTATACGGGAAACCGGAGGATCCTCACCCAGCTCTGCCACTTTAGTTCCATGCCCTTTAAGCAAGGTTGGGAGGAGGAGATGACAGGTTTAATATTTAGCATTTTTTCTCTCAACACTATTGTTTGTACAAGATAACCTTGATGATAATTATGTGACAATAAAGCTAAGTGATATGTGAATGTAATGTTATATGGCTCAGACTTTACTTGCCCAATTATAGAGAACTGGGCTCAATTTTTGACCTATCGCATAACAGTGAACAGAATGTGTTTCTCTCTGCCTTTCAAATAAATATTTTCTTTATCCTCTACCTGCAAGAAATGGCACCCCATATGGGCATCAGTTTGTGTCCTGGCTGCTCCATTTCCAGTCCTACGCTCTGCTTATGACCTGGGAAAGCAGCAGAGGATGGCCCAAGTTCTTGGGATGCCTCATCCACTTTGTAGATGTGGGATTTTTTTTTTTTTTTTTTTTGAAAGGCACAGTTAGAGAAAAGGAGATACAGAGATCTTCCATTCCATTGGTTCATTCTCTGGGTGAACACAATGGCTTCAGCTGTGCAAAACCCAAACCAGGAGCCAGTAGCTTCTTCCAGGTCTCCCACATGGATGCAGGGTCCCAAGGCTTTAGGTCGTCTCTGCTGTTTTCCCAGGCCACAAGTGGAGAGCTGGATGGGAAGTGGAACAGCTGGGATACGAACCAGTGCTTGGGATCCCAGCACATACAAAGTAATGACTTTAGCTGCTAGGCTACTGCGCTGGACCCTTTCAAGTTTGATTAATGCCATTGCTAGAAATGGCTGTTCTTTTGATGATGAACCTTTTTAAATAAATTAATACCCATATACTTGGTGTGGTGGCCTGGCGGCTTAAAGTCCTTGCCTTGAAAGCAACCAGAATCCCATATGGGCTCCTGTTCTAATCCTGGTAGCTTCACTTCCCACCCAGCTCCCTGCCTGTGGCCTGGGAAAGCAGTAGAGGACGGGCCAAAGCCTTGGGTTCCTGCATTCAGGTGGGAGACCTGGAGGAAGTTCCTGGCTCTTGGCTTCTGGCTTCAGATTGGTGCAGCACCAGCCGTTGCGGTCACTTGGGGAGTGAATCATCGGATGGAAGATCTTCCTCTCTGTCTCTCCTCCTCTTTGTGTATTTGACTTCCCAATAAAAATAAATAAATCTCTAAATAAAGAAAAATTAATATCCACAACGTACAATATTTTTTTTCCTGAAAAATGATGAACATATTTCATAGCAAATGGAATGGCACATGACATGATGCAGAGAAACTCCAGATGTGCTTGATTAGTGAAATGCAGCCGGACTCTGAAGTTTTATTTCAGTTTCCTAGTTTAATTTTTTTTGGACAATTTTATTAAAAGGTAAAATAGAAGCAACTAATCAAATTAGAAAGTACCCCAGAAAAGCATGTGTGCAATAGTGATTATGTATGGAAAATTTTAGAAGAAAATGCATTGAAATCACTTTGACAATTAGGAAAGAAAGATTTAAACTACCGGGCTGCTGGGATTAGATCCAGCGCCCATATGAGATCCCGGCACGTGCAAGGTGAGGACCTTAGCCAGTAGGCTACTGTGCTGGGCCCTTAATTGCATATCTTGATTGAAAATGCTTGACTTATTTACATAATTAAATTATAATTGAATTGGTAAGATTTTAATATGCTTTAGGTTTAGGTATAGTAAGTATACCAGCATATTGAAAAACAAGTAAATCCCCTTATATTTGGAAAGTTAGTGCATGGCAAAATGGTAATTCTTTGGGGGAAAAGAAATATAAATATTATAAATATGATAAATTGACTTGTCTGTCCATCTCGAAGAGGATAAGGTTGAGCAAGTATGTAATCTCAGATGGAGTAAGGCTTAAATATAAATAATAAAATACTTAATATAAAAAAAATCCTAATTTTTTTTAAAGTAATATTATGGTTTGCCTCGATGCCCGCAACAGCCAGGACTGAGCCAGACTGAAGGCAGGCGCCAGGAGCTCAGTGCACGTCTCCTGCATGGGCAGTAAGTGCTGCAGTCCTGGAGCTGTCACCTCTTCCCGGAGTGCACAGGAACAGGAAGGTGGGGCTCCAGATCGGGTACCTGGGCATGGAATGTGGGCAGCCCAAGAGTTAAAACCTGTAACAAGCCCACCCACAGAAACATGGGTGGAACATGGG